GCTGGGGCGACTCGAAGCCGGCGCTGAGCGGCCGGGGGCTCCCCGACACCGCCGCCGCCGAGGTGAGCTGCGTGGAGCGGCTGCGCAGCTGCTCATTCTGCCTCTCCAGCTTCTTCACCAGGTCCTGCAGCTTCCGCACCTCCAGGTCTGCGCTGATGTTGGAGTTGATGTCCTCCATGGACTGGCGACACACGGCTGCTTCTTCGGCCGCCGTCTCTCTATCCGCGCGTCTCGAAGATCCCAGGGCCTTCTCCGCTCGGTTGCTCTAGGTGTACCCAGCAGACACTTGGATGTCACACACAGACGGCGAGCTAGACGTCGTCGTCGTCGTCATCTTCTTCGGCACAACACCGCCGGCCAGCTCACCGACGCCATCTTTGCGGACCCGTCACCAGCCGTGAGGCCACTGGCAGACGCAGGGGTTACGTCCCGACGCTCCCTGCCGGGGTCGAGCACGCACGCGTGGACGTGAGCGCGCACCCAGACATCCTAGGGGGGTGAGGTGGCGTCGTTGCGGGTGTCGTCATGATTTAAGAGTAGTATAAAACATCCCTGGGTAAACTTTGATTATAATCAACGTGATTTGGGCGAAAGGCATATTTAATCGTTCAATTTTCTTTGTCATCCTTCATATTCCGGACCCATACTATTGGGTAGTTTATGACAGAAAAAGATGATTGGATTGAAGACAAAGTATGCAGTATTTCTTGTACAATCTGCTGCACAAGGCTGTCAGAGTGTGCGGATTGTACTGCTGTTGTAGAGATCCTGCCTGCATTATCAGTTAGCGCACAATGAGGAATTCAGAAAGACACAGACAACTGGATAACACTTGCTTTACCTTCAAGGGGTTTGAGCAAACTAGGCGATAGCTACCCTCACAGTAAAATACAAGAAAGGCTTTCCGGGCCTGCTTTTCTTTTTTTTTTTGTTTCACGCCCGCGACATCCCCAAAGCAGCACGGGTCCAGCAGGGCCGTCCCACACACAGCCCCCACGGCGCCAGGGCCGGTGGCACACGGGCGCTGGCGAGACCACGCCCTTAGCAGAATTCCCTCACGGGATCAATAAAGTATCTATCTATCTCTCCTGCCGTCTGCGCCTCACCAGGGTCGAGTGGACAGGACGGCAGGCTCTTTACGCAAAGGGCTGCGAGAGTGCGGAACGCCTCACCCAGCCTTGCAGTTGAAGCCGGTACCCCCAGAGGCAGCAGTAGTGAGGGTCAGGCTGTTCCTTTTCAAAATTATCAAGGCACCTGAGCAGAAACCTTCATGTGGGGGAGAACTCGTTACCTAAGGCTTGATGCTGTGGACTCGTTTGCACTTACAAGATAAACACACGTTTTTTTAGCCACTGCAAAAAGGCCGAAGTGCGAAGTGCGTCCTTGCGAACAAGAAAAACACAATTGAGAGATGATGAGATTGGCCAGGAAGGACCTCGCTGCTGTGTACCCAAGCAGATTTCTCACATGTGCACGAGAGGTTTGTCAGTTTCACAGCAGCACAAGCTGGGACCTGAATCACACAAGACGCGCGCCCTGGACAGGCAGGGAGAAGAAACTGGAGGAGGGAGGGAAGGACTTTATTAGTGCGATCAGAGGCTGCAGCTTCACGCCTGATCTCCAGGGTGCAAACACGCCTTGGCTCTGGAGAGCCCGCACCCATCACGTGTCACAGACCAGGGTGACATGCTTTCCTTCCAGGACGCTGTAGCTCTCGAGGAACACAACTGGCCATCAGCTATTTGATACAATTGATCGATTTACTAATCACATCCAAGTCTTTACCATCTGGCGACTTAAGGGTGACTGACGGGGCTCTCCAGGACCAGGACCAGGGTGGCCCCCCCACCCACCACATCACATCCCACTGTCCTTCTCCAGCCGGGGAGTCACTGTTTCAGAAGTGGAAGGCTGCTCCTCCGACGCGTCCTGGCCTTCCCCGGCAGCCTGGCCACCCTGCTCCTGGCCGCCCAGCGATTCCTCCAGCCGGTCGGGATCGGCGCCGGCGTCCTGGGACTCCAGCCTGTCCTCCTCCTCCTCGTCCTCCACGTCCATCTCAAACACGCGGATGTGCTGGAGGCTCCGGCTGAGCTGCAAAGGACATTCTGCATCAGTCGCGCTGCGAATCGAAGGCACGAGCTCTGATTCTGTAATATGTCAGCTAATAAAAATAAACTGCTCACCTGGGCTACAAGCCCTGATCACACCCCCTTCCCTCCCCTACGGACTGTAGTTTCCATGAAAGAACAGTGTATTAATCCCATTTAATCTGATGATTTAATCAAACAGCATCATTAAAAAGTCTCCAATCAATTAAACATTAATTCCTCACAAAGACAGGAAAGCAGGGGGTGTTTTATTGAAAACACGTTGCAAACATTCAGCTTCCTGAAGGAGAAAGAACTCCAGGTTTCAGCTCGGCTCGGGTGGACAACAGAGCCATGTCAATGTAAAATCCAATTCACAGGGCTGGTAGAGGTGATGTATACTGGGAAGAGAGAGGGTCGTGTCGAAACACATTGGAATGGGGAGTGAGGTGTTCTCCGGGAGAAACCATGATGAGGGTGTTCCCTGTGGAAAACAAAGACATGCCTGTGTGCAGATTTCTCTGTGGCTCAACGAGTACAGGAGCTCCTTACCACACATGCGACTTTGCGAATCCCATTTACAGCCACGTACTGCGCCTTCATGTTCTCCAGCGTCCTCCTCTGGTTCTCCAGCACCAGGTTATGGGCCGGGATCCCCCCACTCTGCTGGTCCAGTCTGCAAACACACTCTGGTCAGCGGCGGTCACCCTAGAAGAGTCTGGTCTTCCAACACCTCCCAGGTGAATCAGATCCAAACGTTTCCACATCGGCAGCTAACAGTGACCATGAACGCTGATTTGATTGACAGCTTAGAAAGTGCAGTGGTTTACTGTAGTGTTTCAACTACAACACATCAATTTCCCTACGGGATTAATAAAGTATTATCTATCTATCTAAAGTGAACATGATTACTGTACGTAAAACGTACGGGTTTCATTCACACATATCAGCTTCTTGTCAGAGGCCCCAAATGATTTCATCTCATTCCATTAATTTTCAAAAGTTTGCATATCTCGCTCGTCATCGCAGGGAGGAAACGCACTTGCTCTTCCTCAAAGGACCCAAACTGCATCGTGCAATATGACCCCGTGACCTTAAGCACAGAAGCAACAGATGCAGCTCTGCAGAGTGCTCAAGAGCAGGAAGGAGAGACAGTGGCAGAGCTCCAGTCTGCACACAGGGGTAGATGTGACAAAGAGGTTTCTTTCTCTCTTCTCTTCACAGCTGAACTGGAGGTCACGTCTGGCGTTTGGACTTTGAGGAGGAGCTGCTGTGTCACGTAAAAATTTCATGAGATGCAAGTTTAAACGTTTTAAATTTGAAAAAGTATACCAGCTCTCAGACGACTACCAAATCGCAGTGAAATCACCAGGGGCCCCCGCAGAGTAAACAAAGGGTGATACTATATCGACATGCGCAGGCGAACGCATCAAGAGAGGGGAGCTCCTGGATTTCTCCTCGCCAGACTACCTCAGGAGGGGATCCCACGCAAACTCATCTTCTCCAGTGTAGACTGGGGATAGGGGCAGCTGTGCCAGAATCCTCCCTCTGCTCTCTTCCTCCTCCTCCACAGCCTCTTTCAGCACCACGGTCAGCGTTTCGTCATCGTACATGCGGGCGTCAAGACAGCTGTACCGGCTGCACAACACACAGAGTTCGGCACTGACCTTAAACATTTCCCCACTGCAGAAAGCTGTAGTCTGACTATTTCATCTACATAGGAAGTAGTCAACTAAGACGCCTGGCCCAGCCCAAGAAAAGGGCAACATGCTATAGATGTGATGCCTTGGGGAACTTTAGGAACCGAGAAGGACGAATGACATATATTTTTGTAATTACAAAGTCTGTTGATAAGCAGTTTCACAAAAATCAGGCAGAACATATTTTACATGAAAGCAGGACACAGTGACCTGTGACTAATCTATCACATTCCCAGCTTTTCAGCACTTACCTGGCTTCTGCGCTCTCGTCAATACTGCTGTTCAGAAAATTTCCAAGATCGATGGCCAACAAGCCGTTGGGAATAGACCTGTTAAAAACCCACATGTGTGATATCGGAGACCGTGCTGCTACGAAAACACTTTAACACTTTACGTCAACAAATCAGGATGCACTGTAAGACGTCCTGTTTGTCATGCATGCTATAACGTTAAAACTGTGAAATGGAAGCAAGTTGTCTGTATTATTACACTTTCACACACTGTGACACACGTGCAGTGAAACTGCGCTGCCCTGTCGTGATGAACCAGGGGTTTCATACAGTCCCCCGACCCGCAAGCCCTTTGAAGAAGTGACCCCGTCAGCTGCGAGGCTGTCTGCCAGGGGGCTGAGGGTTCGAGGGCTCTGCCCCCGGGTAGATGGGCCTCCTCTGGGGCCCGGTGGGGTTCCCTGGGGCCCGGTGCCCCTCAGCAGGTGGGGAAACGGGGGCAGAGTGGACCAACTTCGCAGGAGCTCCTACCTGGACGGGTCGGTCGCCCTTCTCATGACGTACAGCTTGCAGGGGGACACTTCGGGCATGGTGAACACTACGTAGTGCAGGCTGGATTTCTTGTCGTTCCACCTGAGGGACAAAACGGACCTCTTATTGGGATCGCCCGGGCGCTGCGGTGAGCCGGCGTGCGCGCGGAGGGGCCGGAGGAGGGCGGCGGTCACCTCCGCTACTCACAGGGACGGCAGGTTGAACAGCCGGGGCACCACCTCCGCGCTACAGCGGGAGAAAACAGAGAGGTCGGTTACTGCTCCGCTGCTTCGAGGAGTGGGGGTTTTAGCGCCTCCAAGACAATTACGATTTTGTCACTCAGCAATTCTTAAGAGCACCAAAGCCAAGCAGGTGTTCTGGAGAGGAGGACTTCACTCCAGTGGTGTCCCAGCTGGTTTCAGTTCATCCCCGGATCTCTCTGCTGCGACAGCAAGAGGACCGTGGTTTTCCCCACAGTTCCACAGGATGGGTATAAGGGCCTAACATGGATATTTAAGCTGGTTTTTATGGGCCAGGTCTTTGATACAAACCATTTCAAGAATTCAAGATTTCCTAATGTTTCATCTCTGAACATCTGATTCAGTTACTGCTTGTCGATTTATGATTCAACGATGCACCCCACCGATACACCCCCAAACTTTCAGACACACACTGATCCTACCTTGCTGGTACTGTGTAAAGGGGGATGCTGGTAGCCAGAGTCACCGATTTCCCAATTATTTCCTAAAAGAAAATGTACTTCTGAGTGATAAATACTGCCCAGTATTATCCTAAGATTATCACATATTTCACGCCAGGAGGCTACTGGTATCCGACAGGTAAATATTACAAGGGTTGTTGAGAATACTCTTAGGAATACTTTGCTATTTTACAATAAAACAAGAGTAATAACTTGCATTCACATTATTATTTCAGCTCTTTTGAGAACATGTAAAGATTATGTTATAGGCTGCCAGTTGAAAATCCACAGGAGTTCCCTTTGGACCCAGTAGACAATGACGATATCTGCAGATATCTGAACAGCACCTGGTTTCTACTGCTGGAATATACAGAGAGGCACTAAAAATGCTAGTGGTTCTAATATTCATGTTCCGTTTTTAATGCCTCTCGCTATTCATTTATACATTGAACAGTTTATGTGCTACTGCAAGGAATTACATGTGCAATCTGTAAAGGAAACTCTAGGACGGTCCATTTTAATCTGGCTAATCAAGGCTAACACGGTGCTGATAATACTTTCTGTGCCAAACCTGAAAAATATCTCAGTAAGTGTGATTTACTTTAAACTCCAGTTGAATAAAAAAAAACTGAGACAGTGAGGTCACCAGCAGGGGTACACTGCAGCTCCCTCTGACACAGTGA